GTACATTTCTTTCATTGTTTTCAGTAGATAGAAAGTCCCAAACATAAAAAAGCAAGTATGTTATTCCCCATCTAATTTGGGAAACTGGAAGAAACAAAGAAAAGTAGCTACAGCAGTAAGGATGAGGCTCAGGATGTACCCGAGGAAAAAGAACACTTCAGTGGTTTTTGATATGTTGTCGTTTTATGAAAGGGAATCAACACACTGAGGTTACTACAGCATAGTTACAGCAAAGGCAAAAGCAACCACATAATACAAAAAAGCTGACAGAACAGAAATAGAAACTGGAGAACATGCCTCATGGGAATGATAAGATAACAAAAAAACTTGGGATTTAACTTGGGAGAAAAAAAAAGGATGTAAAACTAGCCAAGAGAATACCAAAATCACATGTATCAACAGTAACTCCACAAAGTATGTAATTTCTGTACTTGAAATATCTGCATCTTTTTATGCTAGTTATCAGTTTTTGTTCCACATGTCTGACTAGACAGTGGCTTCATGGCTACTGTGAGGGAAATGCCTTTAGGGCAAATACTGCCTGATGACAAGAAACATTTTACGTGGCTTTATGATTCCTGATAGTAACTCATGCACAATTTTTGACAGTCAGCGGGCCTAAAAGATGGTGATTACATTGTTTCAATTGGTGGAGTGGATTGCAAATGGCTTGGAGTGGATGAGGTTCTGGAAAAATTCGAAAGTGTGGGAGAGCAGCCCATTGAGGTTGAGGTTATCAGCTGCCAGGATACAACAGCATCTATGGTACGTAATGAGGCAAATACATTTGTGGATTTGATGTGGGAGGCTTTTGTTGTTTTTTTTTCCCCTCTGGCTTCAGTCCTGATTAATGTTTACTTTCAGTTCACCTAGATATCCCACTTTGCAAGTGAACAGATAGTGCATTTAAACATCTGGTGCTTTTTAAACAGTCCATTTAAAATCAGTAGAACCTGCATCATGACTTAGAAAGCTAAAGTGAAGTCTGTGTGCATAAGAATGGTTTGGGGCAGTTTTTTTTTGTTGTTGGCAGCTTTACTTTTGTGTCTGTGTGTTAGTGGAACTACTGGGATTAAATATGCCCTAGAATTCATATTGCAATTAATTTTCCCCTAACTTGTTGCAGAGAATTTAAAAAAATTACCATCCTGTTTGGCACAAGAAGAGCCATAATGAAACAATAATTGAGTGCAGTAGAGCATCCAAGTCTACATGCCCCTTTTCTATTTGCTGTTAGCATAAATGACCTATATCATTTGTAGAAGAATTTACAGATTGGTGTATGTTTTTATCTTGGGGTATTTTAACTGTCTAGTCCAGTCACAAAACTGCCATAGAAGCTTTAGACTAAGGAAATGTGATCACAGGTTTAAAAAACGTTAAGCCCTAAAAACATTATTTGTGATAAGGGAACATGTAGTTCAGCTAAATCCAGTGCTTCATGCCTCTAGCATTTCCTGGCAAGCTTAGACACTAGAATACTTGTTGCCTTAAAAGTGATCAAGGTGCCCTCACTGCCACTGGATTTCCTTGTTTGAAATCCATTTTCCTTACTGACCACAAGGAATTGCATGCCTGTCATTCCAAGCTGCTGCTGGACACAAAAGGGCTACATTACAATCAGGCACAGCTAAGAAAAGGCAGAGGGCTGTGCCTGCCAGATAACCCAAAACATTCTACATTGCACTTGTAATAGCTGCAGTCAACATGGAGTTTGTTCAGAGCATTTACCAAAAACTCTAAAGACTTTCTGGACTCCAGGGACAACAGAGACTCGCCTTGAGGGATTTGTGCAAGAACTGCATGCCCAAGTGTTGTAGAGAGGATGCTGTATATGTCATGCAGCACTTACTGGCTTTTGTGTAACTGTAACAGCACCACCACTGTACAGGGACTTGTGAATCTTTTAGATTTGCACAGTAAACCCCTTCAGTCTGCAAGGGCAAAACACCAGAAATCCCAGCGCGCTGAAGGACTTTGTGTTCTGTACTAATTAGCACAGAATGCTTGCTGTAGTCTGCCTTGGAAAACTATGTGCACAGTAATCTTTTGTTGTCTTCAAATTGTTGACCCATTTTCAGTGACTGGTGCTTATAATTCTTCTCTCTTTCCTACAGCATAGCAAGAGTGCCACGTACTCTGTGGGAATGCAGAAGACATACTCCCTGATCTGTTTAGCCATGGAAGAGAACAAGACTGATCAGGCTAAGAAAGCCCCACTCAAACTGCCTTTTCTAAGTTGGGGAACTAAAAATAGACAGAAGGCTGCAAGCACCCTCTGCCTTCCTTCAGCTGTGGCTGCAAGTTCTCAGGTTAAGAAAAAGTTTTCTCCCTTCACGTTTCTGGGTACAGAAAGTTCACTGTACTGAATCTTTCTGAAGGAGCTGTTACCATGAAGTTTTTTCTTTTAAATGTATATAAAACACATTGATCAATGTTATCTTTATCTATACATGTGTATAACTTCAGACAAGTGCCACTGACTTCACTTGCTATGAAGATCAGAGTTTGGCAGAAACTGGAGAACTTGAGTCAATTTGAAGGTTAGAACAAAATGGTTTGAGAGATGGAAAAAACAGTTTGTTGATGATAAAATGGCTTGCAGAGACAGGATTCCTTTGGAATTTCAAAATACAGTATCATCACCAGTTTTTGTAACTATTGTAGATGGGAGTTATTTATTACAAACTTGATGCTGCATGCAAAACAGTAGGGAACACAGTGAAGGATGATTTTGCTGTAAAAATGTAGAGTTCATAATAAGTTGCTTAACACTACTTCACAGAATTATCTTAAAGAACAAAGGAGAGAGGAAGCTGTTAGAGAAAATAGGTTTCTGCAAAGGGTGGTCTAACAGTTGTTCTTATGCATAAACGTTCTCTGAGAGCATGAGGTATATTCTATGGAATAGCTGATATGACTTAGCAACAGAATTAGAAGGCTGAGAAGTCATACAGTCTTTTGAACTACAAAGGACTTTGACTCTGCTCTTTTCTGATCGAGGTTACGTGTGCATTATTAAAAACAGGTTGTATGCCAGACTTGAAATTATTTAACCTAGTTACAAGATGATCTGCATTTCATTACTCTTGTTAAAATTGATAGTTGTGGAACAAATCTCAAAACTGACATTTTCTAGTATATTGACCAAGAATATGTAAGTTGTAGTGACACTTTCAAAACATGAGGAAAAAAAGTACTTAGAAATCACAGTGGGAGACTATTATTGTGCCAGTTAAGAAAACTGATATGAAATCTTCTACTTCTTGGAACATCTCATGAGCATGTATTGACAAGGAGATGAAAAACCTCTGAGTATTTCTGCTAAACTCTTCTATTTTATGAAATTAATTGAAAGTTGCTAACACGTTAGTGTTAGTTAATGTTGCTATCTACAGAGTAGATATTTGCTGTTTGATACTCAAAACTTATGGGAAAGCTTGTGTCTGGGTGTAAACTTCAGAGGTGTCATTTTTAGTTTCTTAATAATAGGTGTAAATATGTTAATGACTTATTTAAGAATAAAAATCAGATGCTGCCATTGGGTAATGACTCTGTGATTCTACTGCTGCTTGGAAAATAAAACCTGTTACAAGTTTTTACTACTTTCTGGTAACATATCCCTGCAGGTTTCTGTAATGCTCCTTTCAATAAAAGTATCTCCATTCCTTAGGTCTCTCAGCTGCATGCCTTCCCCTTCCCACCACCAGTGGTCCCTGAGGAGACACAGGGCTGGGGGTCTTCTTCACACTCGAGCAAAAATTGGGGCTTTAAGTGCCATATGAATCCATATTTACTATTTTCTAGCAGCTATTTAAAGATTAACTTTACAGTGAGTGGCAGGCAATAGCTAACAAGATAAATACTCATTTCACAGCAAATTAAGACTTCAGCACTTTCATCATATGCTTCTAATGATATGGAATATACAAGGCTATTTTAAAATCCTATAAAATCAAAGTTTGCCCCAGATTAATGCTTCAGCCTTTAACTTTATTAGTATTAGTTTTTACTACTTCAGTTGGAATTTATTTGGTGTACTAAGCCAGGTGGTCACTGGAAGAAGTGCAGAATGTACTTTGGTGTTTGCCTTGCACTCCACACACGTTTTGGGTGTGAAATCCAGTCTCCATAGCAACATCAGTAACCAGTGACAGAAAAAAGCTAAAACATTTATAATGAAGCTCAAGTATTCCCTAGTGAGAAAATAGTATCTTGTTTTCTAGTTGTGGAAATTCTGATGTTTACTATCAGTACATAAAATAATGTAAAGCCATCTTGTAACTGTATTTTCAACCCAAGAAAGGAATCAGTGTAAGTAACAAATCCATCATCGCATGGATGATTAAGTTGGTTACAGAGGTTCTCTTAATGAACAGGAACTGAAAACTGCTCAACTGCCTTCCTGCTGTAATCCAAAACCCAAGTGATAGGATTGGAACTTACAACACCTCCTTAATGGGTGCATAGCAACAATAAAAATTACTAGATGAGATACCACTTAAAATATAATGCAATATGTCAGGAACACCAGTCCACTTCATAAATAACTCCTGATTAGTACTGGAAGCACAAGATACAGTCAAAGCTTCCCACATATGGTAGTTGCTATATTTAATGCCATAATTAATTATCCCAACCTATATAGAAAAGCATATTAATGTCTAAAATCTTAGTTTATTTGATACAAAGGAATAAATTTGGTAACGTCCTTTGGAGTGAAAAAAGAACTAGGGAAATGAGTTAGTGTAGTCAAAGATGTATTTAGGCAGCACTAAACCAGCGTGATGTTTGAGAAGCCCTGTCATACACAGACAGGTGGAAATAAACAGCTAAAGCAAACTGTGGAGCCGATACCAAGTGCTGCATTACCTTGCTGGTTGTGACATGCAGTAATCACTGTACTCAGCTGTGTTTCTCAGCAGTGTACAGTGCAAGAAATGTTTGATTTAAAAGGTCCTAAAAAACAAACAAACAAACAAACATACTAACACCAGCAGTGTGAATTGATCTCTTTACCAGTTACTTAATGTAACAGTTACATAAATCCCAAGGCAGTATGACAGCATTACCTTCATCTGAAACTTCTACACAATAGAGCACAGTTCTAAGGAGGATGGTACAAGTTTATATCCAAACGACCAGAACAGCTATAAAGAGGAGAGCAAGCCAGGTGATTACTCAGCACCCTCTAGTTGTTGCTGAGATTATAGAAATTACCATAGTAAGTTATCGTTAAGAACAAAACTTTAGAATTCACAAGAAACAGAAGCAGTTTTTCAAGAACAGCATAATATGCAAGTCAGGAACCCAAAAATGCGTGGATTTGTTGTGCCACTGTTGGTCCAACTACAAGCTCAAGTTCTTTGACAGATGCATTACAAATCTGATGGATGCTTCCAAACTGTTGCAGTAGAAGCAGAGCTTTCGTTTTCCCAACTCCTGGGATTTGTTGCACTGTCCGAAACACTGATGCCTCAGCCAGCTGTGAGCATTGTTTACGCAGAAAGGGGTTACTGGTGTGATCCTTACTTTGTTCACGGACCTGAAGCAAAACAAAACCATAAGCAACACCGAATGCCCTCTACTGGAGCTCTGTATTTTTGCTTCAGTGCAAACCCACAAAGCCTCACCCAGGAAACTCAACGGTTTCTTAACTTAAATAATGAATTCAAGCAATTGATGCAATCAAGAAAGAATAAAGTAAAAAAGAGAAACAACCTAAGAAATTTCTTCAGCCTGACACAAAGTAAGAAAAAAAATAATCACAAGTTGGTTTTGACAGACTGCTAGGCAGGGGGGTTGGAACTACATGATCCTTGGGGTCCCTTCCAACCCGGGTGATTCTGTGATTCTGTGACAAGAATGGATTTCCTGGTGCTATCCAGTGGCATCTCAGTGCTAGATCACATACAAAAAATACAGTATCAACTTCTTCCATTTTTTTTCCTTTGCTTCCTCCTCCTACTGAACTGCACTACCTATTAGCATTTTAGGACCAAATGCTGGGCTCCCTTGAAATCACATATGTTTTTTCCACAAAACAAGTCATGATTGAGTGGAAAATAGGTAATTTTCTGCCTGTATTATATATGAAGTGACTCTCCACTAACATTAGAACTTACAAGTTGAGTAATAAGTTGAGACGCTTCTTCTTGATTTGCCACAGGAACCAACGCCATTCCAAGTTGCAGCACAACGAGCTTTTGCACTGCTGAGAAGTACTGCTCACTTATTGGAGTCTTCTCGACAATCACAATTCCACCAATGCTGCTGGCCTATATTGAAGGGGGTGGGGTGGGAAAAAGACCTCATTAACAAGCTGATGTGACGCAGCACAGAACCAACCTGTCAAATGTGACTTAGAAGCAAGTCAGAGGAAAAATGAAAGCTGCACAAGCAGCATTGAAGCTAAATAAAGCATTATTACACCGATGTGTAATCTTTCGGTTTTCGGTATTTCGGTGGAAATACCACAGAATTTTAGCTCCACCAGAAATAAGAAAAAGTCACGATGTGAATGTTTTCAGAAGCACGGAATATGCAAGCTGCAATTGGAAACTCTTCCTCTTCTCCTGTGGTACTTACATTCCTAAACCGCACCAATCTCCGCTTGAATTCATCCCCTGCAACCAAATCTGCTTCAGAAATATATAAAACACAGATTCTGTTGGAAAGATGGAAATCCACGAGTCCCAAGCCATCTTCAAAGACGAGTTTAGTTTTCCCTTAAGGTTAAGAATAAAAAATACAGCAATTTAAAGACACACACAAGCACTTAGCCACGCAGCTCTCCCGATACGCCAATAATTCTGTTGGCTCGGCTACCAAACTCACTTAGCAGTCGTTCTTCTCTTCAAGTAAAACCTGCTTCAAGTAAAACCTTCCCGATACCTTTGACAATACCGATTAACAGCTCTTTGAAACTACAGATTCCAGGCGGCCTCTCGACACACTTCGGCCTTGCAGAACCCTGCACCCTGCCGTACCTCGGTGGAGCTGCAGCCAGCTGCTCAGCGGCAGCAACGCAAACACGGCAGAGTTCATCACAGCCACGAACAGCTGTTCGTCTTGCTCAGATATGGCTACGACCGAATGAAGCGCACTCCAGGAAGTTCGGCACCAGCGAGGAACAGAGGGCCGCTGTTCTCTCTCACCTTGCAGCCTGCGGGCCATCTCGGATCCCCTCCACTTCTCGTTCCCAACCACGTGTCCGTAAGGAACAACCACGGATGCCGCCGCGGCAGGGAGGTTTCCTTTGGCCGTCATCGGACCTCCCTCACCTTTTTACTTCAGCAGCAATTACGCTCTCTGAAAAACGCGGAAGGGAATTTATAACTCCACAGGCCAGCCGACAGAGCAGAAGCCCCGCTTCCCTCAGCAGCAGCTGCAAACCGCCCGCCTCGCAGCGCGCGCCTGATTGAAGGCGCCAGGCGCGAAAGGAAACGAAGCTCCAACGCCGAGAGCGAATGAGGAGGCGAATGGGGGCGGGGCTTGCCTCTGGTAGGTTGCTATGGCCGCAGTAAGGCGCACGCCGATTGGCGGAGCGCAAATTCCCAGCAAATCCGCCGCGCTGTTGCTGGCGGGTCGGGCGTGCTGGGAGAAGCGTCCGCAGGAAAAGCGGAAGGCGGTGGAGCGCGTTGTCAGCCGCGATGGCGTTCGTCTTCAGGAGAGGTCGCGAAAGGCCCTTCGTGAGTACCGCCTCGGGCAGGCGCCGAGCTCCGCGTAGCAGTTATTGCAGATTGTCCCCTAGAAACTATGGAGTTCTAACCACGGCCCCGCCCCAAACCCCAGCCGCGTGTCTGAGGGTGCTGTCCGAACGCGCTCGGGCTCCGGCAGCTTGGGGCGGCGCGCAGCGCGCCGGGCGCGAGGCAGCAGGCGGTGCGCAGGGTGCTGCCGGTGCGGGGCTCTGCACAGCTCCCTGGAACGCAGCAGTCGTTCCCCGTTTTCCTGTTAATTATCCCGTTGGAGAAGATACAGAAAAATTCTCCATTTAAAAAATCTGCTGTTCAAACCTCATCAGCATTTTTTTTCCTTCCCTATTCAGTCTGAGCCTTTATGCTGAGCCTTTATGACTCTTGAAGGACAAGTCTTATGGGACTAGTTTAGTGATAGCGCTTTCTTCATCTCCTACTGCAGCGACCACAGGTTTCAAACCTCTTGTACAAGACAGGGAATAATAATTGTTACTGCGAAGTAAGGTTCAAATAATTTGAAGTAAATTAACATCTGGTGCCTTTCTTGTCTATGTGCGAAAATAAGACTTTAAATGAGTATATTGCAATTCTGATTTTGCAAATAGTGATGTAATGAGTGGAGAAGGTGCAGTCACTGGTATACAGTTGTTGTAAAGTACATTTCTAACCTTCATTCATACTATTCATACATGCTCTGAAGTTACATTTAAAACCATTTCAAGTTTTCTGTTCACATTAATTGCATGTGAACGTTCTTGCCTTCTGTATTATTTTGTGAAGTTAGTTTTTGTGCATGTTCAGTTCTGTACTTTATTCATTGTTATCCTTAAATTCATTGCCAACTAATTTTATTTTAAATTGTTTAGAAACACATAGCTCATGGCCTGGTCCCTGCTGCCACCATAGCTCCTAAACCTGCAGTTCCCCGCACCCCTCCCCCTCGTAGCCCAAACCCTTCTCCAGAAAGGCTCAGGTAGGTTTTGAGTTGTTTCTTTTTTTTTTGTTTCATCAATTGCAATAGCACACTAGGAATGCATGATGAGCAGAGCTGTTGTTGTAGTGTTTACGTAAGCCTTCTCACAAATGAATGTTTTTAGGCAGAGCTGTTCTCAAGTACGATAAGCAATTAAGACAATTACCTTTCTATCTAACTTATAAATCTGAGTCAATCAAAGACAAATGGACTTTTCAAAGCTAGGGCCATTTCTAAATTGGATGCTACAGTGCAGGACTGTAGCTGTGTTAGTACCATGAATGAAGAACTTTCTACTCCTTAGAAAAGCTAAGTTAAACATTACTAACCTGCCATTCTATTGCAATTATCAACAACAACAAAACAGGGACTTAAAAACGTGTATGCAAGACCCCTGCTAATCCAAATTAGCAAGGCAGGCAAGTAGTACAAAGGGAAAATAGGAATTTAGTTTCATTTATAGTACCTTACAGTTTTTCTTCTTTGATTTCTCTGCATTTAATTCACTTCTGGTTGTTTTCTGTATTCTTGCTTCTGTCCATATTATTCCTGGTCAATTGCAGTTCATTTCTTCTTTTTGATCTCCAGCTGCTGTCATTCCTGTTGCAACCCTTATCATTTGATCTTCATTCCCATTTCTTTTTCATCTTTATCTTACTCCACTCTGCTCTGCAGCATCCCTCTAGCAAGCACTTCCATCTACTTACACTTGCACTAGTTTGTAACACTTCAGCATTTATGCACAGCTTCACAGCCATCAGTAATGACATCAACAATTCTGTGTAGTTTTCTCCTGGGAAGTAGGAGACAAAATAGCAAAATATGGAACAGTTTCTCAACCTGCCTCCAGGTACTGTTATTAGGACTGAAGTGAATGCTAAGTACTGTACATTTTTGGTGTGAATTTTGGAAATGTAATTCAGTATATTATTTCTTTTTCATGCATTTGAAAAACTTATTAGGTATTTAAACTGTACTCTTAGATTGCACTCATTAGAGAGCATTGTTAGAGCACACCTGGTTTTGTGCGTTACCTTGGAGTTAACTGGTTTAAATCTGGTCCCTTCGCAATGTCAGTGATGTTTTTTAACTTTGAACTTCTGGCTTTTCTTAAATAGTGAAGACATTTTACATTGGAAGAGGATATAAGGTGTGCAGCACAGAGATGACATTAGTACTGTATTGTTTCTTTTCTTCTGTTTTCTTCCAGATCTGCTTTAGCAGCAGCTATCCTTGCAACAACACTGACAGGGCGCACGGTTGCTATTCCTCAGCCTCGGCAGCGATCACTTTCTGAAGGTGATTCTGCCCGCGCAGAACAGGAGGGCTTTGAACCATATGCTACAGTCACAGAGCTCAGAATGGGGTAGCGTATGCTTTGTTTTGCTCTCTTAAATTAGAAATGAAATCTTCCAGTGAAATAATTTTAACCAAGAGTTACTGAGAACTAATTCAAATCCTTAAACCAGTTTACTTCATAAATTAAATCCAAAGTCCACAGCTGTTATTCTACTTCTCATACAGTGATGTATACCATCCCCAGAGAGGGAGGTCTGGATTGTACAGCTACTGCACATAAAAACATATTATTTCTGCCAAATGCTTATCAGTTATACAGTTAATCACCGAAGAATCATCTGGATTATATAAGGTAATTCCTTAGTGCTAAATTTTTATTTCAGACTATTTTTGCTGTAGAATTAGCAGCCTTTGATCTCTAGTGTGGTATTTTCTTTAAACTAGAGAAGAAAACAGTTTTGGTGTTGCCTGTTTTAAAGCATGTGCATAACTTAGGCTCCTTGTTTGCAGTTAAAGCTTACATATTTGTTTCTGCTGTTGGACTGGAGTACATTCTCCGACAGATGACGCTACTTTACTGGCATTTAGCAACATTGAAGCAGGCTTTGAACTGTTTTCTACTTACAGGCCTAACTGGAAACTTGATGGCAGTGACAGATCTCCTGTGCAGTCACTGGAAATAACAGGCAGTTACTGTGAGGATGAGGACATGGAAACCTATCTTTCAGATGCTGGCAGAGAGGCAGAGGCAGAGTCCAGCTCTGAGAGTAATGAGAAACATGGAGAAAGCTTTAGCACCAGTGCGATTTATGCAGTTCCCTGTAAAAACAAAAAGGTAGTATTTTTAATCAGTTAATTCCTTTACTGTATTGTAATATATTAGTGTGAATATTAAATATTACTATAGCTTGTCATTCTCTTACTATTTACTTATTTATTCCATTTTTATTTACATCTTCTCACAATCAATTTACTCTTAAACATGCTAAGTTTGTTTGTTGATCCTCACATATTCCTTATATAGTTATTAGCACATTTTTCTTAATAGGAAATCACTGATATTATTGCTCTTACTACAGATTTAGAGGAAGTATATGTTTTAATCTGGTAAAGCGTCCAATATTTTACTGAGAGCGTGATACTTAAGTACTTTCAGGCGTAGTGAAAGCTCAGTAATTGATTCAGATCCTGCTAAGGAGCAGGACCCATTCAGAGAGAACATTCAGAATCAAACAGAAGACATAACCTTGTGTCTTAAAGACCAGTGGATCTTTGTGTGTTTAAAGCACGGAAGCAGCTTCAGTTTGCATCTTTGTCCAAAGTGCTACAAAAACAGAAGTAACTGAGTAGTACAGAAGGAATACAATGCTATGTTTGTGAAAGGAATTGGAAAACACACTGAAGAGACAGTAATTAGGGAGAAGAGAGGAGAGGGAAGAAGGGGTGTGTTGCATACTGGGATGTTGCTACGCAATCAACAAGGGAAGACAGCTAAGACTGCTAAAAATTACTCATTAATTGTTTGAGTACTGTAACATCATAAATGGCAGAGCTTTTTTAAAGAGTAAGTTTAGATATAGAATGGCCTGGATTGGAAGGAGCCCTAAAGCCCACCCAGTTCCAAGTCCTTGCTGTGTCAGGGCTCCCCCCACCAGCTCCGGCTGCCCAGGGCCCCATACAGCCTGGCCTTGAATGCATCCAGGGATGGGGATCCACAAAGACTAGTTTCAGGGCAGGTAAGACTGCACTGGGCAGGGGATCTGAAGCAAAAAAGGCTGACAAAATGGACAGATCATACGATCCAAGTTGTCCACCTCCTGCTGGTTGTGTTAAGGCTATATTTTATGTGTAGTCCTGAAGCCAAACATTATGTTGTTTCATTTATTATCTTAAAATTCTGGGGTATAATTCTAAATGTGACTAAGACATTATTATAGTGAAGGTTTCATACACATATCAAGATGCTCTGTCATGGGCTATTTTAACAGTGTTATGATTTAGACAGGCTTGTCTTATTTATATACAGGAAGAGTTTCAACCATCTCCTACTAATAATGCTAAGAAGAAGGAAACATCTCATGAAAGTCAGTTTCAGGTGTTGGTGGATGAGTCCAACATGCATTCTGAAGGTAAATAAGGTTACTGTAAGGCAAAATGCCTTACCATTTAATATCATGGGAGAAAATTTTTGAATAACCTAAATTTAATACGATAATGATATATTCCCTTAAAAAAAAAAAAGAAATGTTACGAAGTAGCCACTTCTAGTAGTTACAGAAAAATAAGAATTTGCATAGAGGGAAGATTTCCATATCCACTCTATAATGAAACTCTTCAACATCTATTAACAGTCAGCTTTAAAAACAAAACATCTAAATTAAGCAATAAGCTCTGTCTGGTCTACCACATCTCTGATATGTGTGCCAGAATCAACCCATTTTATTCTCTGAATGCTACTGGAA